GCGGAGAGCTTTCGAAGGAAAGAAGGTACAAAATAGTCCGCTATGTTTTCAAATGTTCGTACCGAAAAGCTGCCATTTTGACTTTCTACCCTTTTTCCTTTAGCCAAGTAAACGATATGCGATTAATAAAGTCCCAATTTAAAATCATTTATCCCTGCCCAAAATTCGTTTCATGGCCCCTTTAAAGGTTCCCTGAGGAGGTTTCTGAAATCGCCTAAATATAGTGATACCTCACTCTGTTGGCTCTAAGCATCCTAGAAATGCCTAAATCATGACGATACGGGGCCGATTTTCTGACTAAAAGATCAATCAAAGACCGCAACACAACGACTTACTTCCAGCGATGGGATGAGTACATTTCGAAACCAGGACCATTGACATCATCGCGCTTCCGACCGGTGGAACCGCGGAGGTATATCTCGAATGCGCGCGACTCGTTGCCCATACTAGATTGAACTCTGCCCATACAGCCCTGACTGCGATTCCACCCTGCCAGCGCGCGCTCAGGCGCTCGGGAAGGGACGACCAGACAGATCACTCTTTCGAATTCAGCCTTTCCACCCTCGTGAAGAAGGAAGACCAGCGGAGCTGTACTCGATACATTGCCGCAACGCGCACGCTCCCGTTTCCCGCTTCTTCTCGTCCGACACGCCGCCGATCGTGGATACGTCTCCGGCGACCCAGAGTCGGTCGCACACGGCGCACGTGGCGCCAAACGGGTAAAGGCCGGTTCAGACACTTGCGTTTGAGTGCGTTTGACTGCGTTGCGTCGAGGACCGAAAGCGAGTCACCGGCACATCTGTGCTTCGTATGAAGCGTGGAATCTAATTCAAGGAATCATGTTGCACGCGATATAAGCAGTAGGAATGTCCTGGTTTTTCGCTGCCGCAACGCAGTCAAACGCAGTCAAACGCACTGTCTGAACCAGGCTTAATCCACGAACTCCCTCCGGAACATCGCCGTCGCGCCCGGGAACTATTCAGCCGGCGTGGAATGCTGTCGTCGCCGGGCCTCGCGCTTGCGCTTGGCTTCCGTGGAACGATCGTCGTCCGTGGCGTTGGCCCATCGGCGCCCTATACATCGCTGGTTCTGTTTCGGCGGCTTTGCAGGCGGGCAATGTGCTCTTCTTTGGCAAGGGAATCTGAAGCGCTCGACGCAGTGGAAATCGAGGCGACAGCGGCTTAGCGGCGGTTACGGACCCATTCGCGCTGCTGCGTACGTCGCCGCTCCTTCCGCAGTCAGTCTTCTTTCCCCTAAAGGGCGCGCGGCCGACCCATCCTAAGTCCATATCGAAACTGATAAGAGCGTAGGAAACGGCGCGCAAAACAGACGAGGACGAAGAAACACACGTGACGAGCGCTGCGCTCGTTACGTGGACTTCTTCCTTGTCGTCGTCTCTTTTTCGCGCTGTTTCATACGAAGAATTCCCACCAACGCGCCGACCAACTATCCATTCTTCTATGATAGCTGTGAGTGCCTTCATAGACACGCTGCTTTTGCTTGAGTGGTGACAGGTTAGCCATTTTTCCGCTCAATTGTTTTTTATGCATTTTGATATGCGCGGAATCCGGTGTCACTCAGCTCGAGAGCGTAGCATTGACTGTTGCATAGACGCCATTTTACCGCCCAAGACACGCACGGAGTGCGCGAGAGCGTCACGCGCTGGCACATTCAGGGCAACAATGGTTGTCTTCACCCTGAGACAGACAGACATGTATACTTCGTTTCAGCTTCGGTCCAGACGCAGCCAAAGCTACAAGCGCGAGCTCCGGGCTTTCAGCATCCCTGCCAAGCACGCGCGCTCGTGCAGTGCAAGCACCGTTCTGGGCCACACGCTCGCGCTTGTAGCATCGGCTGCGTCTGGACCGAAGCTGAAACGATCTATAGGCACCCTAGGTAGCTGGAAAGGTTGGCGCCATCTACGAGCGACGGCGGCTACCATACTGGTTGTGTGCTTGCCGCCGTCGCTTATAGATGGCGGTAGCTGTCCAGAGGCGGTTTTGTCGACAAGTGTTTTGTACCGGACACGATCCTCAGGATTCTAGCCCTTAAAGGAGAGGTCGAAATTGAGCAAGGCCGACTAGGCGCGTGACGTCAACATATCTCGTTTCCTCCTCTCCTCGCTTCGCTCCCTCAAGGCGGCGAGGCGGAGAAGACACGAGGCCGTTCCCTCCCCTTCTCGGAGAAACAAGACGTAAACATACCTGGTCACATGCGCCTCCATTTTTTTTTTTTGAAAAATACGGTCATCCGTTTGAGTTATCGCTGTATGAGTGATGTTTTGGTGTTTGTAGCATCCCGTTGCACGCTTATGCCTCGTGCTTTGTGGAATCCAAATTTCGATTCAGCATCCCTTTAACAGCTCCGCTGTAAAAAAAAAGAAAATAGTTTGTTGTTATTTAGACGATTATTGACGTATTACATATGTTCCCTCTCAGCGAAAAATCAGCATTTTTGGACTGCTCTTACTTGCTTCTATCATCGATAAAAGCCTACATATTTTGTAATACCAACGTTTGCAATCTCAACAAAAAGTCACGTGTCGCGTTTTCATTGGTCACATGCCGTCCAGGCCACCGGCACAATGCTCCTTCCCTCGCCGGAGCCAATCAAGTTTTTATTGTTTTCATATTAAGGAAATCGGCCGGGTACCGTTATGATTTATCGATTTCTAGGATGGCTAAAGCGTGCAAAGTGAGTTATCGCCATATTTAGGCGATCTCAGAAACCTCCTCAGGGCACATTTAAAGGGACCATAAAACGATTCTGAAATCTAATTTCGTCCACCGCACATCGTAAAAAGAGTGAAAAGAAACACAAAAACACAAAAATAAGGAGCCAAAAAATGCTTCGCTATAGAACCTAATAAAAAACTGGACTCTTTTGCACCTTTTTTCCTTCGAAAGCTCTCTGCTTTTTCACTGCAATGCATCCGCGGAATGGCAGCACGTCAGCCGAATCCACGTCGCCTATGGGCTAAGAGCCTACCTCACCAGCACCGCGATCATAAACAATAGATAGCCGGCGAATGTTTCCTAAATGTCTTATTAAATAATATTCAGATCTGCATTTTGTAGTAGAATTAGAGCAGTAATGAAAATTGCCAAATTTGATATTGTGTTGTATTCTACGACACAATCTTTTTGAAACGAGAGTCGAAGTTGGACACGCCAAAAAGATAAAAAAGAAAAAAAGGAAAGAAAAGAAAAGAAAAAAAAGGAAAGAGGAGGGGGGAGGTCGTCAGGGTCCACCATCTGTCGTCGATGACCTATGGTGGGCGGAGGGTAACAGCTACACGATCACGGTGGTCCAATCGGTACGCGCTGACTTCTCGGTGCGCAAATCCCCGTCGCACTTCCCACCACGCCTCCAGCCTCTGCCGAGAACAGGACACGTGGTCATGTTCATTCGTGAAGCCGAGTGCCTGCTCGATGCGGGAATCCCCGATGGGCACTAGCAGGAGCCTCTGGCACGTGAGCAGCAAACGCTCGGTGGTCTCTTCGTCTCCTCTACAGGCGCTGCATGTCATGTCCGTCACGTTACTGTCAAACTTTCGACGGTACTGTCTGGTGCGCAGGGCACCACCGCGGGCCTCAATGAAATTCAATAATTCTAGCTCTTTCGGAAATATAATTGATTACAGAAAAATAGTAATTGAGTTACAGCGAGCGTTACCGCAGAAAATCAGTAATTGAAGCGTTAAAACGTTACAATAAAATGTAATTTATTACACGCAATCAGTCCCTTGTGACTCGTTACGTACAAGTTGTCGCGGTACGGTCATGCACGCCATTGCCCAGTCGCCGTTTCCACCTTCCTCACTTTTGTCCAGGCGAAGCAGTGTCAGGGAAAACAATGGGCTGGGTAAAATTAACACGAAAAAGGTGTGTGAGTCAGCTATTTCTTGTAAATAGTTTAAATCGACATTTAGAGCGGAAACCTCGCTTCATGAAGTAAATCCCGTCCCGCTCGTAAGGTCTTAAAACTCCCCGAGTCATAAAAACAAAACATTGACGAATTAGAAAGCAGAGAAGAATAAGATAACTAATTACAAACACAAACAGACGTACTTTATGCAGTTCAAAATTCATCTGAAAACAAAAAGAAAGGAAACAAACGTCCACCCGTTAGATTCTCTACTCCGTTTCACGACATAACTTGGTGAACTGTGGAGGCTGCGGCCCCGTGACCCAATAAGAGCCCCTGAGCAAGGCCACCGGTAACGCTCCATGGTCGAGGCCACGGGGGCCTCGTTACTTCCACAGCAACAACGCCGATCGCTAAGAAAAGTACTTCTAGGCTTGTTATTATTTTAACGGCAGTTGAACTCGCGCGATTCCATCTCCGTCGTGAAGATATCGAAAATGAGTAATAATAACTAACCCCAACTTTATGAGTTTCAATTATATTTAAACCTTAAACGGGATGCCAACTACGTATCCGCTCCCGATTTTTTTTCTCCTTGTAGCGCCATGGCCTTGACCGCTTCCGCTCAAAACATCGCGCTAGGCCCTGGCATTATACACCCCTATAAATTCACAAGTAAATTGACTGTATGCTTGTCTCATTAACTGCTCCCAAAGAACCCACTATTCTAGCGGACAGCAATGTTGCGGAGGTGGACCTCCGTCCTAAGTTAGTTGGTTTCGCAGCAGACGACTCTTGGCCAGCAGACTACAGTCGGTTTCTCCTGGCCTCGCATAGGGCGCAGTGACACATACGCCCCGTGACGTAGTGTCACGTGCCTCGCTTCGACGCACTGATTGGCAGAAGGGACCCTAGCCTCCACAGTTCGCCAAGTATTCGTTAAACGGAGTATAAGACTAAAAACTAACTCAGTGGCTCACTGACATTGGTGAACACACAGACACACAAGCATTGCTGAGAATACACACAAAAAAGCACAGAACATAAAATTCGGGTCAGCAAAAGGTCCAGTAAGAGTAAATATTTGTCTACTAGGTAAACCTCGCTATAACTTTTTTTCGTTCAATTCTTAGAGAGAAAATAACGGAACACAAGAACACACTGAATCCAGACTTCAAACGCGACTTCATCGATGGCTACCTGGAAAAGATAAGAAAACATGATGCTGACCCAACCTCTCCTTTCAACGGTAAGTTTTCAAAAGCGATTGTGATGTTGGCAAATGAAGATACAAGCAAGCAGAGTTGATCGACTACCGGGAGGGGGTGAAAGGACGACTCTATTGAGTTGGCGAGCAGACCGATTGCGAGACAGGCTGGGCCGCTTCCATGTTAAAGGGACTGCAAAAGGATTTTGGATTAAAGTTTCACTAACTTCATATAGTTAAATCGTCGTGAACCAAAATTAATCTAGTGCACGAGGGAACATAATAATAAAAAACAAATTTTCAGCTTTTTGATCACAACATAATTTTGCAGCACTTTTAAAAAAAAAATTATATATATTCATCCTTTTTGTTGTTAAGTTTTCGTCTATTTAATTTTGATGCATCCGCATTGACCAACGAGGTAAACTGAATCTAGCTAATGTATTACATACGAGCACTGCTTCACTCGGGCTGCGTCTGTAAACACTCAATCCATCGGAAAATAATGGGATTCGGATTTGTGATTATTGATTGCCGTAACGGAAAATGCGCGATTGTAACGATGTCGGAATCCATGCAATTTATTACGTAATGAAAGAAGCGGAAGTCTGTAAAGGGGAAAGCTGGGAACGGAGGTAAAGACGGGAGCAGAGAGCGCGCAGCAAATCGTCAGTGCTGACATCCGTCCCGCGTGGAGGAACAATAAATACAGAAGAGCGGGGGAAAGGGGGGGGGGGGGCGGTCCGAATAATGAAAGCAGTCAAAATGTTAGGGCTGTTCATTTTGTGCGTGATTATGAGACCCTTTACAACAGAGCGTCTACACATCAGTATATGCTCTCCTCTGAGCTGCATGAGCATCCAAAACTAATTGAAATAACTAAAAATAAAAAAAAAAATAAAATACAGCAGCCTCGTTATGCTGAAAAAGACCACGGAACACAGAGTGCGTTGATCGCAAAAAAGTAGGCTTTGGAGCGTTCCGCGGCGATTTGCGGGATGGTAATAAAAGTGGGCTCTCTACCCTCCCGGCTGCTGCCTCTCCATCTTCCTTTGGTATTCATGCATGCACTCGGAGGTAGTCTGCCTCAAAGCCGTGGCAATGCATTGAGCCGAGGCGAGCCGGCTCTGACTTTATGTGGGCTCTGCTGTTGTGTCTCCTAATTTTGTCAAAAATAAAGATGTTATTGCTATTTGTCTCTTCATTATTATGTCATCCGACGGCACATTTTCTGACCGGTGTCCGCTTTTGATCCATTCAGATTAGTTGTTGTTTTAACGGAGGAAAGATCTCCCGGAGGCAACCTTTTTAAACAAATACAACTAATATAATGCCTGTCTAAAAGTTTGATCACGTGCGCAAAAAAAAAAGAAGGAAATGTTGTGCTTTTATTATTTAGCTTGAGGCTCCTCTGTTCCTGGGATCTAGTGACATTGGATCACAGCCATACTTGTACCATACGCATTACAAGTAATCAAATTACATGTAATCGATTACTTTTTGGAGTAATTTTGTAATCAGTTGATTACTTTTATTAGGCAGTAATCACAAGAGTAATCTGATTACTTTTTGAAGTAATAAAATTACTTTTAATCGTTACAATTTGTCCACGGGACCCCCCGTGGACAAATTGCGGAGCTGTAGGAAACGAGAACAATCTCGTTGTATGTACAGTTTCTGTAAAATGTCCGTTTCTTTTTTTTTTTGCTTTTTTTTGGCCTGGGATTGGGAGTGGAAAGCCCCAGGAAAGCCGCAGTGCATGACAAAGGCCATTCAGGGCGAAGTTTGAGGAAGCAGAACACTAGCTTTGCGAGTCCTTCGTTCAAACTAGACCCCTCAAGCACACCCACACAGAAATAAGAAAATAAAAAAAATCCTGCTTAGGGTACCTACTCGCAGCCCATAGGAGAACCAGAACCGAAGAATGCCTGAAGCGGATGCAAAGTATAACAAAGGCAGTTGAAATATTTCCCCATTTCCTCTACGTGGTCTTTGTGACAAACAATGTTTCGAGTTGAGAAGTGGTCGGGGCGATCTCTTCCGCTAATGGATACTACACATTATCCGTTTCAAATCCTGGAGCTGCTGCTCTTTTGTATAACATGCGAGCTAATCCATCTGTGAATAATAAAATTAGCCACGCAAACTTTGAGCGACAACCCTTGCTCAAGCTTAACAAGATCTAGAACCCCCTCCGCCCCCCCCCCCCCCCCCCCCCCACACACACACACACACTGGCAAAAGCCCCAATTCATTAAACGTCTTCAAACAAATTCTATTCATGTGTCCGCATTGTGAAGGTGCAAAGACCACGAAGAGGGAGCCAGTTTTTCTTCTTCAATACTTGTGCAAATGTGAAATATAGGTTGGAAGTAGTTCATTGTTATGAGCGCTAAAGGTGTACGTCTTCACACAATAAAGTAATCTGAAAAGTAACGATTACCTCTTTAAGTAATGTCCAATTACTTTTGCCGCCGAGTAATCAAGTAATCTAATCGAATACTTTTTAGCCAAGAGTAATAGTAATTGTAATCGATTACTTTTTTTTAGTAACGTGTACAAGACTGATCACAGCATGCAAGTCACCGCGAGATCTGTGCTTCGAATGCCGCATGGCAATGAGCTCAACGGAAAAACTCCTCACGAAGCGTTCGAACCACGGATGTTGCGGTGACTTGTGTTTGCAGACTGCATTTTGTATGATATATGAGTAGTGTGGCCTCGGCTTTGGATGCTGAACCATACATTTCAGTGTCCCTAATAAGTGGCTCACGATCTTTTCACAAACAACCAGCTGGTGTGAGCGAGCACACGCAACGAAGTTGACGTCATAGCCCTCCAATCACTATATTTTTTAAATCGCCGTCCTTTACTCTTTCCGGTATTTAGTATTGCGAAATTCAAAATAGTTATTCTGAAATCGGCGAATGAAAATGACGCCACAACGAAGATTCGAATATACCCGCGCTTTTCATTTTTTGTGACGTCAAAGGATGGCAGGCTTGCGATTCGAGCGGGCAGTCTAAAAATGAACTATGTCGAGCATTTGTTTCGTTCTGCTGCGCGGGAGCTGGAGCTAAATTTCCAATCCATTTATTTTACACCATGAAGCTGTTTGTAATTAGTTAGGAACAAAGTCTAGAGCCCATAGAGGGAACCCCTGCATTCACATGACGTCACTTTTTCAATGTTGCCAGTAGAGCTTTTCCCTTTGAAAAACGCGATGAGGACCAAAATTGTACATTCTGTAACTTAGCAAAAAAACGTTATTTTGTCCAAATATTTGGGTTACTATTTCAGCGTTGTTTTGGATGTTTTTAGCAAGTTTTTAGGCAAATCGGGGACAATTAAGAAAACGGCGGGGTACCTTTTTAGTTTCTCTAATGAAAACCAGCTTCTAACTTTCATGGCGCTAATATTACTAATATCGGTGCATTGTACTAATGAATGGTCATTTCGTAGTGAGAATGCGCCGGTGATATCGACTCCAAAGATGAACACTTCAAACCGGTACAATGACACTATTTTAGTTTTATAATCACTGTACTTTTTTACCAAAACATTGAGTATAGCTAGGGTTCTCTGTTTTCAGATAAACCCGAAAAATTCCGAAAAACAACCGCCTGTAATGCTTTGGTCAATTCGGATTTATCCGAAAAGCATGCTCCCAAGATAACGAAAAATTAACTCCGAAAGCACGGAATCCTAAGTATAGCATATGTATTTTTTCAAGCAAATAACAATTACCAGGAAGCAAAACTCGAACAATTGGGAACAAAAAAGATAGAAAACATTTATGGTCGTGAAGCATTTGGCAGCCTTGAAACCAACGGCGGCTATTTTATAATTAAGTTTTAGTTTTCCCTTTTTATCGCGTCTAATATAAACTTTAGATACACAAAATTTGCTGACAGATGTGTGCGCAGTTTGTTGAAATAGTTGCGTAGTAACAATATCGTATTTCTTGTAAATTCAGAAAAATAAAACGAGTATGTAAAAAAAAGTCAAATGTCCCCTGTCGAACTTTGGCCACAAAGCTAAGGAAGATATTTCCAAGGCCTGTGGTTGAACGAATCGGTGTATAAACCGAATTAATGAAACAGCGGAAAAAAGGACAGTGATAATCAGAACACACATACACACACGCTCGCGCGCATACACACACACACACACAATATAGTGTTTGTGGGTGTCTTCTAGCTGTGCCTGTATCCTTTTTGTATTCTTATCTATTTTGTAATAAGCATATGCTCGAGAATAATGAAAACGCACAGAAGACGGCAAAAAAGTTGGCAAAACTCCATGGCTCTCCAATCTGGGCACTTGGCAAAAACGTCGGCGAGAAATCCGCCGGCTATGATTGGCCTGCGCCAAGGTCAAGTGCGGCGTCGGCCAATCACGGCCGCCAAATTTCTCGCCGCCTTTTTCGCGAAGTGTCCAGATGAAGGCCCCGGATGTTAGCTATCATGAGCTCACTCAAAAGTATAAAACAACTTTAAGTGGGCCATATTTTCACTGCGCGCCAACCTTCTAGGTTGTCCTAAGCCTAGTCAGTCTTTAGAAATTATATTCCAGTGTGTATCTCAGCAACCAAAAGTTTTCATTGTCTCTTTCTCTTCCGAGTACAGAAGAAAACCTACTGGGAAATACCGCGGAATTTCTTTTGTCCGCCACGGGCCCATCTTCGACTCGGATCTTTTGGTGTCTTCACATCTGTGCCCAAAATCCCAACTCAGTACAGACCAAGATCCAGAAGGAAATTGATGATGTCGTCGGACGTCACAGACCACCTACATGGGAGGACCGCAAACAGATGCCCTTCACCATGGCCAGCTTGAAGGAGACATTGCGGTGGATGTCACTAGGATCCATCGGGTGCTCCAGAGGGTACGTGTGTTCTGTCCTTAACCTATTTTTTTGTGTGGCAATAAATATGAACTCAAATTAAGAATGTATCAACACAATCAATGTAACCTGGTACACCAGATATCTTTTTTTATTTTTTTTTTTTGTGCCTGTGGTCCGCACCAAGCTCTGTTACCTCTGAACTTGTCAGAGTCCGAAGTATACTGAACATGGAACTTCGCATTACAATCTCGGTTCGGATTACAGCTCTATCAAAAACTGGGAGGCACACCAAAAAAGCACGAAGGACTGTATCAGCTTATATTAAGCGCGATTATACTTTGATCTTTACTTGTATTTGAACATCTTGAGACAATGTGTTGCTAAATATGAAGTTTAAGTCTCCAGGGGAATCGGAGCATACCCATGAGTTTCAGATGGGGTAACATAGCACAAAATGATGTGTATTTAGAATCATGCCTTTGGAGTGATAACTCTGTACATTCTATACTAAACATAATCAGAAAGGTGGCAATAACGTATAGATATCTTTTTGGAAGTGTCAAAGCAGCAGGTGACGTTCTTTGAGCAACCGAAGCTAGGTCTCTTACCGGATTATGGGCTACCACACTGATGGTGCGTTTGCACTTGCGAATTCACAGACAGATCCGTGCCGGCGACGAGCGGAAATTAAAGCCGAGTTTTAAAACCCGGTCGTCACTGGCAGGAATTCTGGATCGATCCAGGATCCGGCTTTTCCACCATGCGAAGCGTTTCGCCTGAGGCGAGTGAATCAGCGTCTGACGGAAGACGCGTTGCGCTGTGCATCTTCCGGTTTTTTCTGTTTGTTTAGAGCCATGGCATCACCCAGAGCTCAATAAACATTCAATTACAAGGACGAGGAAGGAGGAAGTGTGCACGCTCAGTCTTTTCGCAGCATGGGGAATCACCGCCACCAACGACACACCCAAAGGGATGCGCTCTGCATCACCTACGACGAAAGATAATCCGCGTGGCGCTTATTTGAGTTCTAAATAAAGCAAAGCAGCATCCCTTTACGACGAGCAACTGCGTCTGACACCATTCAAAACACTGCCGCCTTAAACGAAGCACACTTTCTTCAGACAGCTGTAGAAATTCGCGTACCGCCGCCGATTCGCTATTTCCCACGTGGTCCGTCAACAACCCGAGTCCAGCCTGGTACTTTCACGGGAACGGAATTCCGCTCCCCGTTTATTGGTACATAAAACACAACGCTACAAAACACTCAATCTAAAATACAAATACACGCGACGTTACACAAATATTTGGAAACGCACGCTAAGCCCAAAGCTAAACACAAAGAAGGCTCCCAAGCCTCGTGTCCCGCGATTGCTTTAGATCCGGTCGCCACCCACTTGCCTGCGTCTCGGTATCGTCTGAAGTTCTTAGAGAGCCTTTCACCCCCTGGTCCACGGTCCACCGAGTATATCTCGATCGATGGGCGAAGAGGTTTCTCCTCGCCCGCCATGGGGCGCTTGCAGCGCCATCCAGTGGCTAGGAGAGAAAGCGGCACGTCGGGAGCCGAATTCGAGATCCCGATCGACCCCGCGGCGACACGACCATGTGATCGTGTCTGAGGCGAGGCAACTACATAGCTGCCTCGCGGCAACTATGCCAAAATGGTTTGATGGGCGTCCTCGTGAATGCACGGTGCGCCATACACCACAGCCATTTAATACACAAGAAATAACACTGGAACGGCTAAGAAAAGAAGAAGAACAGCGGATTCCTGAAACGAGGTCAGCTATTTATGGGGGGAGGGTCCACTGCAAACAAAGGGTCGTACGTTCATTCGAGGTGCCCATTTCAGGGTCATCAAGAAAGGTATTGCTCTCTCGTGTTTGGGCGCGGTGATGAAAAAACTGTTTTAGCACAATGGCAGACAGCTACGTTACTCAACTTGGCAGGCTGAGAGGAGCAGGATTTCCATCGTATTGTCAGATGTGGCCGGCACCTTCTTGAAGTGGAAAAAGTGGATCCAGAATACGAAAGGCACTGCTTTAAAGAGGAGACATGTTGTCATACCTTACCTTCACAGGGGTTTTCTTACAGTTTAAAACAAAAATGTTGTAAAGCGATTTGGAGTTCCAGTTGTTTTTTCAACCCCTCCCCCAATAAAGCTAGTCAAATATGTGGCATAGTAAATTCGAAGGCAAAAGGCGGATCTAAACTCAAGTGCTAAGAGAAGCATGTCATCCGTTTGTACCCTGTTCTTCAGAGATTGTGTACAAGGCCCTACTCTCGTTCGACAGCTATTACATTGGCCAGACAGGGCGGTGCCTGAACGACAAGCTCAGAAAACACTTTTGGTCACTGAGAGCCACAGTTGAAGGACACCTTCCAATTCACTGTGCAGAGTGCCAGTGTCAACCATCCTTTAGCGGCACCAGAATTTTAGGTAGAACACGACCAATCGGGGAGTTATGGAGGCTTACCTCATCATCAGCGTAAGAAGCAACCGGCTGAGCCAACCATTGGTGGCATTACCAAAAACAGTGCTGGAATTTCTAAGAGAGCTTCCGCGCGTTCCGCCGTGAACTGGGGGACCTGCTATCATGAGGGCTGTGTGCCTGACGCAGGTGTGAAGGATTTTGTGTTTTGTCTTAGTTTTCTTCGTTTTTTTTTTCAAGTAAAATATATAGTTGCAAGCCTGCGCCTGTTCTGTCGTATGTTTCTCCTCTTTGTCCTTGTCCTATAGCGCTGTTTTCCCTTAAAGGAATACCTCAAAAAAATTTAATATATACCCGTCGTGTTCAAAAATAGGTTGAATATGATCCACAATATCCGTAAACGACAATCGCCCGTTTGCATTTTGAGTTTGGTGGCTCTATTTTTTGTTATAAACGGCCCACTCTGGCAACTCTGGCAAGCGCTCGGAGAACAGCCAGCGGAGAGCACGTGACATCCAGCGCTATCGTGACGTAATTCGTCTCGGGACGAGCAAAGCTACGGTGAGGCTGACGGAGATTTCGAGTCAGAACATCCAACGCGTCACAACATCCATCGAGTCAAAACATCCATTCGTGGATGTTTTGTCTCGGTAGACGTTCTGAGTCGATGGATGTTTTGACTCGGATGGATGTTCTGACTCGATGGATGTGTTGACCCCATGGATGTTTAGACTCGGATGGATGTTCTGACTCGATGGATGTTTTGAGTCGATGGATGTTTTGACTCAGATGGCTGTCATGAATATTTTGACGAGTTGAATGTTCTATAGTTTTTTGCCTGAAAGGAGAGAGCTGTTGTATAAGCGACTTTTGACGTTATGGTAGGCAAGGGCCGTTTGCATACGCTCCAAGATAAAATTTAATTATTTATGAAGGACAAAATTGAGTTCGGTATTTGACGGAAGTGGATAGGATATGTTCTCATTTCTTTACTATTATTTGAGCTGTGAACGGCCTTTATGATTTTATTATCTTATTGAGACCTTGTCAGTTATTTAGGCTATTCAAGAAACGTGTTTTTATATGTATTTTGTGATTTCGATTTCTTCAAATTTCCTCTACCAGTGTTAGTTACTTTTTTTTTTTGCAAGATCATTGCTGTTGTTTTTCTTGGTCCCTGCTTGAACCACTTATGGTCTGTTGTTTTCATTAATAAATAAATAAACAAAATATTAAAGTTAATATCGTCAGGGGCATGTAAACAGACCTAAATAATTTTTCTTTTGTTTTATCACGTATTAGGAGGTGTACGCTGTCAGTGACCCTGTGTCTTTCTTGTAGCATAACGGAGCGTAAAATAAGAAAGTATTTTGGTGGTCCACTCGGTAATAAAATCAGTTAGGACACGGTGGCGCAGTGGCAATGGCTCTCGAAAGCGGCGATCGGTAATGTTACGTGATCACGCGACGTGGCTTCAGATTGTCATTTACTGGCATTACCGGTAAAATACGCTGCTTTGCCGTCTTGGTGGCGTTTTATTTCATGTCGTTTGACCCGTGCAGCTCGAGAGCACGCTACTCTGCGATTCGTGGCAGCTACGTGACCCACAGACAATGGACAAGGCCTTTTTAATCCATATAAAAATCATAGGTATTTAGACCGCCTTTGAAGAAATCAGTGTGACAGCCATTCTTTAATTTTAGCTTGGTGTATGTCAATGCGTTCCTAAGAAATTCGAAAAGAAAAGTGTATTTTTTCCAGGCAATGTGCAATAACAAATATTAGCAATTCATTCAAAAGCAACGTGATAAAAATCATCCAAATGAAAAGAAGAATATCAATATTCACACGAAACATTACTGCACTCTGAAGCTTGTGATGGTGAAACATTTTTCAAAACAGAGCGGCTTTGTTTTAAAAGTATTTTTCTTCGCCGCATTAATTATTATTATTATTATTATTATTTTGCATATGGGTTGGAGCAGCAGAGCGCGCGATGGGCTGGCTCCGAGTCTGCGCGATTGCTCGAGGGACCAAATACTGTTGTCGGTAAATTATGCAGCGTAAGCCCTTCAGAAAAATTAATTTCACCTCGCCAGTCAATTGCTTCCATTTTTGTGTTAAGCCTATGAATTGTTTCAAGACGCTCTTGTCCCACACGTTCGCCGTGATCAGTAACGTTATTCCGAGAGAATCGTAGCTTTAGTTCGTGGTTCTTAAAGTTAGTCTCACTCTCGGACAAAACACTTTACATGGATTTGCTCAATTGTATATAAATAGTAATTTTGAAATTACGGAAGTACTATTGGAACAAATTTTAGTTTTGTTTTTTCATGTATTACAACTTTTTAGGTATTTGTACCCTGTCGTAGTGTCTCTACACTCATTTTTGTCGCGATTACTTCTACCGGACACAACGTAGTGCATATCGTTCGCATAAAGTCATTTGGTTGAATAAGACACCAAGACATCGTGATGCATTCAAAGAATTTTATTCAAGGAAACTGGCCCATAGGTGCTGTTCAGTTTATTCTACGGAAGAACTACAAGGATTGTAATTCTGTCCAGATAGTTAAGGACATCCTGAAATGTCGGGACTGCAGATGACAAATAGCCAAATATACTCAATGACAAAAATAAAACACGAACACGAGGGACCCTACATCCAGGACATTGACCAAGGTAACTGATCAGGTGTATGCCCGAAACTGGCACTTGGCCAAATTCGCAGTCTCGAGCCGGAAACAAATTCATATATATTGTTTTCTTTTCTTTCCAATTCAAATAATAGTTTTGAATCAGATAAATGTTTTGACTCTGATGGATGTTCTTACTCAATGGATGTCTGGCTCAGATGGATGTTTCGACTCTGATGGATGTTCTTACTCAATGGATGTTTCGCTCAGATGGATGTTTCGACTCTGATGGATGTTCTGACTCGGTGGATATTTTGACGCGATGGATGTTTCGACTCGGATGGATGTCTTGACTCGTTGGATGTTTTGACTCTGGTGTCACGTGACCGGTTGGATGTTTTGACTCGAAGGATGTTCTGACCCAATGGATGTTTTGGTCATAAGCGGCCGACGGAGAGAGGATGGCCTAGTCGTTCCAGCCACCAAAGCGGCTGCTTTTGCACGAATTTTGAGTGACGGGTTAATCTTCTATATTCTTGTAGAGGGACAATAGCGACTTCTGGCACACACAAAAGGGATTCTCGGGAAGAGGGGAGTTCCTGCTTCCCCTCTTCTTTTGTCCTGACCGGAAGTTACCGTCACTACCTCTCAAGGTTCCTAGACGGGCATTACAAACGAGGCATTTGCGACATCCACCAGGTGCTCTTTGCTGATCGTTTAATTTGTTTTAAAATTCATCTTCGCTATATTTTTTAACAAGATATTGGTGTGTTCGATGTGATACTTCTCTTTTGAGCACACATAGACCAAAAATAAGCACCGAGATTTCGTTGTAGTATCCCTTCAAACATTTGCCACCTAACATTGCACTCGTTTATTTTAATTGCTATTTCTCTTATTGGTGCTAAATGCTGGGCTAAGTGTTGATTATTAACTAACCTTTTATTATTGGTGGGATCGGTGGCCGAGTGCGCAAGCGCACACCAGCTCGGAGCATGTGAAGTGAAAACGCGCATTGCAGAACCCAGGGATACTGGGTTTAATCCGCATTCCCGCCCGTTTCAATCTGGAAGAGCATCGTACCGACGTGCGGTTGTTTATCACTACTGTGTGGTGCAGATTAAAGCCCCCACGCTAGCGAGTATATCGCACTGACTAAATTGCTGATAAAAAGCTGAGACAAATAATGCCCACTACGGCAGACTAACTTCCGACTGTGTAAACATACCCACACAATTTTTCTTTTATTATTAAGCGGTTCCCTTCAACATATTACTTTGATCACTTTTGGACCGCAGTATTAAGATATCTTACCAGTAAACAGCTTGTTCAAAAACAAAATTGCCAGTCATATATACTCTTTTGGTGCCTACACGCTATGTTAATTGGATCATCCGCCAAACATCAAAATGAAATATTTAGGAGTAAACATTGACTGCACAGCTTCTAATTGTTTTCATTCCAGTTTTATTTTAACACAATCAAACCTTTGAAGAATGAAGACAATTTTTTTATTTATTTATTAACATCAATAGTTTTTCTCAGACAACAAAAACTATTGTCCAAAAGTTGAATTTGCATCGGCTTTGTGTTCCAAACGTTTTCCTTAATCACAGGTGATTGCAATTTCATTTCAGTTTACTAGAAGACACCTTCATTGGCGACTACCTTATTCCAAAAGGCACCATTGTTTTGTTAAATTTGAGGGCGGTGCTCAGAAATCCGGTGCATTGGAACAATCCCGATGAGTTTGATCCAGCAAGATTTATGACTAATGACAGCACTGAGGTTGGGAAAAACGAGAATGCTTTTGTACCTTTCGGAGTTGGTAAGTAGTGTTGGGAGATAATATCTTCCAGAATTCATTATAAGAATACAAGGCCAAGCTTTTGATTATAGAGTTATGTTTAAAGCTGCAGCGAATTTACAATAACGCACTACAAAAAATCACAAAATCAAGCAGACGCTACAAATTGGAGCGTGCTGGTAAGTTTTAGTGTTTAAAGAAAAGCGAGAAAAAGGTCTTCATCTTTTCTATTTTTTTCTTCTTAAATCTCTGAGACGGACCAAAACAAGCTATAAAGGGGCATTATTGGCCTAATTAGTAAATTAATATTTAAATTTTTTTTTTAAATACGTATTTTCATATTTTGAAACATGACGAATATCTTATTTAGAGTTAAATATTTGTACTGCACTCAAAAACAAGATCGCCTTTTTTGGTATTTGAATAAAACATCTAGTTACTAGGGATGTTAATAAAGCGTCGCGCTAGGCTAGATCCTATATTGTGTACTGGTTGAGAAATTAAGAAGGAATTAACTCGAAAAATGAAGCAAAATGCCCTCCAAGTCAAATGATTTGCAGTAAAAGTTTTCTTGAAAAGTTCCCATCTTTCTAGCCGTAAAAAGGAAACTTCATTTAATTTTGTAATTTCTGTGTACGGATTCATCCGTGAAAATCTTTGTCTTTCTAACCAACTTGCTCGGCCGAAAAGGGAATGATGATTAATTACGTCCATACCGAAGTTCCGCTTCGAGGTTGCTGGAACAGAGAAGCTGATGGAGCTCGAAATCTTGAGACACACGAAGGCTACCTTGATGGAAATGACGCGATTGGATGTTTATCGACACACTGTACAGCTTTTGTATTGAAGATTTTGCGTCCAAGGTAATATGTAAAAAAGGAAGCTGATTAACTTGATAATTAAAGAGGTTGGCCTATTGCAAAAACTTAATTCATTGGTTCGAAAGGACCGTGAACGGTACTGCGTTGGTTGGACACGCGTAGGGTGCGTGCATAAGTTCTAATTATTGGCACGAGTAAGCTGAAACACGGTCTATTGCCTATTTGAATTCTGCACTACCTAGTGATGTACTTTTTTTCCTAAGAAAAGCCATACCAACGCTTTTTATTTGATCATCCTTACACATGACCATGGCGCCTCCTTTACTTATTTCTTTATTTGAAATACTATCGGTCCTACACAGGACCAAGATAGGAGTGGATTTTGCACAACAAAAAAATACACCCGTTCAAAATGCACAGATGAATAACACGTATTCAACACAACGATGAAATGACAACTCTAGATACTGCTGTCAGAAATCTCTGAAATAAGGGAACTAAACTCTTCTCGAGTTTTAGCGGTCACGACATGTGCCGGTAGCTTGTTCCATTGTCGCGCTTTTTGCAAGATGAACGAACACCTAAAACAGTCCTTGGAAAACTTCTGCTCTTCCACATACCGCGAATGCTTGTTGCGGATTATACGCGACATGCTCTCATTAATATACTGTTGCTTATTTATTAGAACCAAGTTATTCATTATGTTATAAAAAAGGTTAAGCCGCTTCTGCTTCCTCCGTACTTGAAGGAGGGGTAGATTTGCCCTTTTACAAAGAGCTGACACAAAGTCCAGCCGTCTATAGCAAGAAAAAACAAAACGTAACGCACGCCGTTGAACTTGCTCCAGATTTGATATAAGATATTTAACATGCGGGTCCCAGACTTCTCATGCGTATTCCAATAAAGGCCTTACTAGCATTTTGTATGGTGTGAGTTTTGTTTCTGAGGAAGCGAGTTTAAGAGAGCGCCTGATGTATCCTAATCCTTTATTAGCTTTTCCGATTATATTGCTAACGTGCGGTGTCTAACTTAGGTTTGAGGCTATTGTAAGACCAAGGTATTTAAACTCTGACATCGGCGTAATGCTTTTCCGTGCAGCACATACACATCTTCTAACGGCTGTCGTTTATGAGTGATCGTCATACATACTGTCTTGTCTAAGTTTATCGACATTTGCCACTTAACACACCATTCATTGATCTGGGACAAATATTCGTTTAGCATAATTTGATCATTAACGGACCTTACTTCAGTGATCATTAACGGACCTTACTTCAGTATAAATAACACAATCGTCGGCAAATAATCTGGCTTTTACGGGTGAATCTTCGATTAGGTCATTAACAAAAACCAAAAACAGCAGGGGACCCAGGACAGAACCCTGTGGAACACCCGAGTTAACATCACATTCGTCCGAGCTAACCCCTTCAATACTTACAAACTGTCGACGATTATCTTGAAAGGCCTGAATCCACCGAACAGTCTTATTATCTCCCAAGATGTAAATCAATTTAATTAAGAACTTTTTATGATTAACTTTGTCGAATGCCTTCTTAAAGTCTAAAAATATGATGTCGGTTTGTCCATTACGATCCCATACCTCACAAAAATAATGCATGGTTTCTACTAGTTGCGTGACCGTTGATAGCCCCTTACGGAAGCAGTGCTGGTACCGGCTGAGAACGTTATTCGATAAACGAAATTGCCCGATATGTTTAGAAACAACATGCTCAATAACCTTGCACGATGTAGACGTTAGCGCGATGGGTCTATAATTGCATACTGACTTAGCATCTCCACTTTTCAGTATTGGAATTATCTTACTGAGCTTCCAGTCATAGGGTTCAGTGCTAGTCAAAATCGACTTTTAAAAATTAAGTGCAGATACATTGCCGTCCACTCTGCATATTGCTTTAAAAAAGAATTTGGAATTTCGTCCGGCCCCATGGATTTGGAAGTTTTTAAGTCAAGCAACAAAGCAAAAATACCCTCAACTGACAGTTGCAGTTCATCATCAGCCCGTGGAATTTGAGCTGGTGATCTAAACTCTACAGACTGCTTATCGTCTTTTGTGAAGACGCTCGCAAAGAACTTGTTGAATTGAACTGCAATTTCTCGCTTGTCATTTATATTTCCTTGCTCCGTTTTGATCTCGGAAACTGACTTCCTAGCTGGTGCCAAATGCCTCCAAAACTTTTGCGGTGACTCACGGATAAACTTTTGCAGTGTCACGTAATAGAACTTGCATTTAGATTCTCTTAGCACAGATTTCAGCGTCACGTTTAAAGCCGAGATATCATCCGATAATGCCGAACTAGGTCTACGACGACACCGCGATCAGCGCCGCCCTATTTTCCTTTTTAAGTGAATAGCTTCTCTCGTCACCTAGGGATTATGCATTCGTTTACGTTTTCTTTTCAAGGGTACGTACATATTTATACATTTATGAACGAGTGTTTTAAATTTCAACCAGAGGTCATTAACACTTACTGACTCATCACGACTAAATTCCTCAAACGGTCCGTAGTGGTAATCTAGTTCGTCTAAAACATCCGTGTCATCAGCCATGCCGAAGTCTCTGTAGGACGTAACCGGTCTGAGCGTTTTTCTAAACGGCGTCAAGGTCATGATCACGCTAACTATCAGGTGATCTGAAAAACCTGGGAAGAGTTCAACTTCGTACGGTCAAGATGCAACCCCTTCGCTTAAAAATACGAGATTGAGAACTGTCCTACTACTGCCTTGAATGCGTGTATACTCTCGAACAACCTGTTTTAGCCCATGGGAAAAACATAAATCTAGGATTCCAGTGGCAGTTTCACGTTCTCGCGTTCCAGGCAACATTTGATCCCCCAGTATACCCGCTATATTGGAATCTCCCGCAATTACAACATTTTTGTGCTGTACGCGCCAGTGGAGCAGGAAGTCATCTAATCTATTAACAGCATCCACACATACTCGTGGAGATCGGTAAACAGCATTAATAACCAATTCTTGGGATCCTAGATACACCCTACACCACGCTGTTTCTATGTCAGGTGGACTCTGTAGCACCGAGTGCTTTATTCTGTTATCAATGAAGATGGCCGCGCCTCCCCCTCGACTGCTACGGTCATTTCTTATCACACTATATCCAGGCGGACAAATTTCGGAGTCGAGGGTAGCGGGATGCAGCCACGTTTCGGTCATCACTACGACATCGGGTTGTTGTCCAATCACAATGTGTTCGAAATCACTGCTCTTGTTAACAATACTGCGGGCGTTAACATTCAATAACCGAAACTTATCATTGCGCTCCTGTCATTCCTGTACAGTAGCATGAGCCTCTGTCACACGCCCGGACGCCCTATGACTCACTCTGAAACGCTGACTTGTAACTTCGTCCCAGGCATAGATAACACTGTCTACCTTCAACTTATCAAAAACAAAATGCGACTTTTTTCCCGTTCTTCATGTCTTCAGAGCCGCTATGCCAAATTTTCTGCCTTTTCAGTGTGACAGTGCTGGAATAGTCTTCGTTAATGAAAACGTTTGCACCTTTCAACTTTTTAGCATTGCGTAATTTTTCTTTCTTTTCGCTAAAAATTCCAAGGTTCAGGATGACAGGCCTAGGCCTGTCCTCTGTAGACTTTCCCATTCTATGTATGCGTTCGCAACTCGTTACTGAAACACCCAGTTTATCCCGAAATATCCGTTCGATCACTTCGCCCCTTAGTTTTAGCTCGTTTTTGTTTGGAGCCTCTTCTAGCCCCCAAATTACCAGATTGTTAGGTCGACTACGATTTTCGAGGTCGTTAATCTTCCTTAACATGCTGTCCATAGTAGCACGCATTACAAAAACTTCCTTTTCGGACTCATCAAGCCTCTTTGTGATCTCAGCCATCCCCGATACAGCTTTTTCTGCGCTAGCCAATTTCTCCTTCATTTCCACTATATCCTTTCTGATTTCATTTTGACCGTCAAGGATGGCCTGCAGCTTGGCTGCCGTGTCGGGGCCAGGGTTTGTTTCTATGTCACTACAACACAAAAGTAACAGTGCGATGGTATCAACACTCAGAAACAATTAAACACAAGGCATGTGGGCTCGATAGCACTAGCAAACAGCGACCATCATCACGAATGCAGCCGTAAAATCGATTATCACCAACCTGAGTGAAGAACAAAAGTGGACTTGTCATTCCGTTCATGCCGGTGCCGTCGAGCCCACTCAACGAAAACGCACCGCCGATTTGCGAATGTTTACGAAGCAATACAGATGGTTCGACTCCTGTTTTGAGCTCGGGCAACCACGGCTCTTCAGACTTAGTTATATTTATGCTACATACTACAGCCAATGTGGCGTCTCGGCGCGTTGTATTTATTGAAGGAGTTCTTATTTTTTCTGGGTTAAAGAACTCAAAGCTTTTCAATACACTTGGGTGTTTGAAAGGCCACCCGGAAACTAGTGTTCCTTCACAATGTATAGAATGCGAAGAGCCGCAACTAACACACTGCTTTGGGATAAAATTTGTTTTTTGTCTGAAAATTTAGGGCCCTGAAAGCCCAAAAAAGCTATAATATAAACACACGGAATATTCTTTGGTAAGAGTAACGGTGTTTTGACCCTCAACTGCCAAATAAGTGCAAAAGTTACGCTTCAGGGCCAGGTTGCTCTGTTCTCTCTTTGCTCTTTCGGGCCTCAGTTCCTGACCAACTGCCAACATTAGGCTACACTTTTGATTGTTCGGCTTCACGGGGCATTTCTGGGTCATGTCTGGAATATCGCCAATTATCTGGAAACCCAGGAAAAAAAATAGGCTTGGAATTTCCCTGACTAGTGAGTGCACAAGAAAAGTACTGTTACCTTAACTAATGATTTGGTTAGGCCCCTAGGACTGCCAAACTTAGGCCAAGTTAGGCTTTCCTGGCGTGCTGCCTGGGGCACCACGTCTTAACATTTTCCTCGTTTACTTGGCCGATATGCCTTTTTTTTCTTGGCATATTTTCATGTGCATCCTTTATGTATTATTCTCTAGCTTCTTTAGGATAACATATATTTCCATAAGGTTCCATAACTAATTAAAATTTACATTCTGTGTTATTTCGTGCATTATGCCGAATAAGTAATGCGCACAAAATGGAAAATAAAAATCAACTAGCTTTCGTTAAAAAAATGCGGAATGTATATGGCAACAAACTGATTTTATTAATGGTACTTTATGCATTTTACTATAAATAACTAGCGTAGGTACTCTGAAAGTTTATTTACCAGAAACATATAGAAAAAAAAGCAACATCCTCTTTAGATTGTAGTTTATAGATCAAGTCAACATTAACTTAATAAAAATTGTTTGCGGTCATTTATTTTTTTATTTTTGTGACAACACGTGTGACGACACGGCACATGTGTCGTCACAGTTGACGTCGGGAGGGTAACTTTAGCGAGAATATTTTTCCACCGAATTCGGCGGAAAAACTTCCCCGCTAAATTTAGCAGGAATATCGGCAATGTTAGATGCGTGTGACGTCACGTGTTTTCTATATTGAAGTCACACAGGACGTCATGTGTGACGTCACGAGGGTAACCCTCCTGAAGGTAACCCTCGTGACCCTCGTGAAGGCAACCCTCGTAACCCTCGTGAAGGCAACCCTCGTGACCCTCGTGAGGGTAACCCTCGTAAGGGTAACCTTCGTAACCCTATTGAGGGTAACCGTCGTGACCCTCTTGAGGGTAATTCTTGTGCGGGTAACCCTCGTGACCCTCGTAGCCCTCGTGAAAAACCATCGTGACCCTCGTGAGGGTAGCTCTCGTGATCCTTGTGAGGGTAACCCTCGTGACCCTCACGACGGTAACCCTGATGACGTCACACGTGACGTCGCTTGTGACGTCATTATGGGAAACGTCCCGTAATGCAACGCGTGGTTACGCCGACGGTCACAGCGACGGCGTCGCTCCTCAAGCCGGAAAGGGGCGCCTAAGAGTTTATTTATTTATTTATTTATTCGAAATACCCCTGAAGGCCCTCTGTATGAGGGTATTACATAGGGAGAGGGGGGGGGGGAGAGGTCAAGCAAGTATCATAGTGCACAGATAAAACACAAAAATTATAAAAAGACAATATGAGGACAAGGAATAAAAAAGAATCTTAAGTATTACTATAACTGTGCCCGAGCTGTTGGAAGTTAGTCATATCTAGTTCAGTTGCAATGTGAGCCGCTAGGTTATTTCAGTCGATTATGATTTGTGGTATGAATGATCATGCGTAACTAAATAAGTGGCATGTGATGCGCGTTACTTTGAATGAATGATCGCGATGTAAAAAAAAAATGATGGGGGAGGGGGTGTTTGAAAAAAATCGTCGTGAACCAATACATGGTGATAGAGCTTGTGAAATAATGACAGACGGGCATGTTTGCGGTCCAAAACAATTGTTGATAAAAGTATATCCCCATGTGCATTTTATAGATTCTCATACTATATATGTCTGTGCATTACGGGGCGCGATGAGAAAAAAAAACAAAAAAAAAACAAAGAAAATCACCTGAATGTATAACGGCCTCTTAACAACTATATGTCGTCCCTCATATTGTGCATGGTTCTATAGTACACAAATAATAATAAGAAATAAATATTAAACATACCATGTTAACAAATTCAAAATGTAAACATTCATTTTATGAGTAAACATTTACCTGCAATATTATGAAGGTGAAGTTGGCTTGACACCCAAATTGCGGGGAATATACATGTCGATGTCCCGCCACAGCTTATCACATAATGTGGTTTGCTTAATGACCAGCCCATAACCATTCATGTTGTGGATGTTATTCCTACTGTTTTACGGTCAGAAAACTATGCGGGCTTTCAGTTGCTCACCGTAACTCACCGTAATCATAGCGCTTTGCAGTCAGAGACCGCCACAAATGAACAAGTATTCTTCATGTGTTTTTGCGTGAAGGAAAGACAAAAATATCAACAGGCTTTTATTTTTTTCGTTGCAGTGTTAATAATTTATTTTTAATTTTGACAGTATTTAATGACCTATAATTCCTGCGGTTGTAATCTTTTTTTCTAGGTAGAAGAAGTTGTCCCGGTCAAATTTTGGGCATCGTCGAGATGTTCCTGTACATCGCCACACTCCTGCAGAAGTTCAGCGTCTTTCCGGAATACGGAGACCAGCTCGACAGCATGGGTTCCCCCGATGCAACGCCAGATGATCTGCCCTTTAAGAGACTGCGTTTTGTCTCGCGATAAAAACCTCGCAAAAAAAAAAAAAAAAAGGCAGAATTTGCATTTTCTATTAATTTAGGAGCAAAACCTAATGTGCTCATAAAAACAATATACAATTAAAAATTAACATAAAAACGACGGCAAGAGGATGCATGAGTAGCACACAGGACACAGTATCTCACTACTTCGAATATTTGAGGCATTATAAACAATTATTGTATATCTACATATTATCACTATTAATATTATTATAAGAAGAACCTGTACGTTAAGAGGATCTAGATTGTTTTCCTTTCGAAACATGTGCGGTGCTATTTAAGCGCAAAAAAATAGAATGTGCATTGCCGCACGCCCGTTCTCCACCCAAAGCCCTATTGGTCAGAACCCGATGACAAAGTTTCATCACGAACTCTTATTTAAACGTTTTAAGTGATTTTCTAAATATTTCAAAAGGAAAATGGAGCCCATTTTTGCACATTTTCGGTTTCTGGCGCAACAGAGTTTAATGTATTCAAGAGCTCCATTGACCGCGGTTTTTTTCTTTGAAGGTTACAGAAAATCACAGATAACATTTGAATAAGATAAGGGTTCGCGCTGAAACTTTGGTTTCTGGTTCTGACCTCGAGCGCTACATTTTGGTGAAGAACGAGCGTTCAGCATTGCCTAGTTTATTTTTGCGGTGAGGGAAGCCATGTAAAATTTTGGGGGCGGCGGTGCATATCGAAAGTTTATTACGACGTATCGAGCGGGGACCGCTTTCTATTAGGTCAAATTATTATACTTTTTTTTTAATGTTATAAAATCTACACTTCTGCGGTTTCTGCAGTTGAGTTATAGGGCCAGTGTGACATAAAATAGGGGGCTAGTTGTAATAATCACTCGACTGATAAAGTAAAGTTTGTTCATTAACTTTTTAAGTAATGAAAATAGTCATATGGTTCGAATTATATAGAAACCTGCTGAGCGTCATCGAAAGCCACTAAATCAGTAATTTTCAATATTTTTTACACACACACACACACACACACACACACGCACACGCACACGCACACGCACACACACACACACACACACACACACACACACACACACATATATATATATATATATATATATATATATATATATATATATATATATATATATATATATATATATATATATATATATATATATATGTACAGGGTGGGGGGGGGGGGGGGTCCCAGATAACTTGTACCAAACTTTACAAAACACGGAGCGCTATGTGAGTGTGAAACCAACTGGTGTATTGCTAGAAAGCGTCTTGGGACAGTGGACACATTTTTTTTTTCATTGCGACTAGCTTATGAGTGATTAAGACTAATTAGCTATCTATCATTTATTCGTTTAAGAACCAAAATGCGAAATGGAAATTTGTAAAGCTCATTGAGAAACGCCCAGTTAAGGTGTTCCAGTTAAGGTGTTCACTTTGCGCGCTTCTTTTCAAGAGCCTAAAAAGAAAGCCCGCGAAATATAAAAACAGACCGCGTAACAACGCGCCCGCCCGTCGCGCTTGCAGCGCTCTCAGACGTGCTCTGAAGAAACGAAGTTCACCTTATCACTGGCGTGCTATGCGAGGCAGTCCTTCGAAGCTGCAGGTGCTCGCGCTTATCTTCGTGGAGTGCACCAACACGAAGCCCTGTCTCGGACAGCGCGGCTGTGATAAGGTGGACTTCGTTCCTTTAGACCACATCTGAGAGCACTGCAAGCGCAACGCGCGCGCGCGTTCTGACGTGTTTTTTCTTATTTTTTTTTATATTTCGCGGGCTTTTTATTATATGCTTTTAAAAAGCGCGCAAAGCGTATCATGTAGGAAACAAATTTATTGGGCGTTTATCAATGCGCCCTGCAACTTTCCACTTCACCCCTCGGCTCATAAACGAATATTTTAAAAACATTCGCAAATTAGTTTTAATTAACTAATTAACTAGGCGCACTGAAAAAGCGTGCGCACTTTCCCAAAATGCTTTCTAACGAATTACGATCGGTTTCACTCTCGCAGAGCGTTCCGTTTATTTGTAAAGCATGGTGCAAGTAATCTGGGACTGCCTCTATATATACATACATGACAACAATTTGGGGTCGCTCTGACTGGTCAACTTGTTTCTACATACATGTTTATTTGACTTCTGTTTGTATTGTTCGTAATGTACACGACGTCGTACGTGCGCCGTGACTTGGTTTGCTTCATTTCAGAATAATAAATATATGGTGGGGAATCAAGTTGCCGCCAGGTGTATTTCATAGGTGCGAAGGATGGTCGATTGTTTTGTCGAAGGCGAGGTGAAGCTTCGTGCTTTAACGTGCACCTCGCTTACCTCCCTTTCTAACATTGTATATTTTTAGACATGTAACATTGTTTTCCACTCTATCAGATGATCTTTGCCAAGAACCATATTTGTCTGCGCGGAAATTGAACGCGCTCGTAGAAAACCCGCGATGAAGTTTAAGGCGAGTATTTCGTTTTTTAGTGTGAATAGACGAACTAATCGTATGAATTTAATTTATATTGAATAAAGAAAAATCAGTACAATAAGCTTTTTTTCTGGATAGGGGCCAACTAAATAATTGCCATGAAAAGTTTATATACTGGCATTTTTCTTTCGGATATTTTGACTTTATGTACAAATTTTCGTCTGGAATTGCCTATAATGAAGGAACGTCTGAAGTAGAAAAGATTGTGTCTAGTCATCATCGGGACAGCGTTCCGATACAACGTATGCAACATTGGCCTGATGTCGGTTGTTGTAGCGTGGTCCAATATTTGCCATACTTGGATTTTAGGTCGACATGATCTCGACCAAACGTTGATTTAGAGACGCCCTTATAAAACCAAAGTTTATTTGCAATCGGTAAAAGAACCGTCAAACGTCAATTCGGGTATGGCAAAAAAAAAAAAAAAGTGGGTCAGATGTTGATTCTATACGGGCAATAGAATGGTAATATTCCCAGTCTAAATGGGCAAGAAAGCGGCGAGATTTTGATGTGAGTTCGGCAAGAGAGTAGTCTCATGCTGATTCAAGATAGGCCAGAGAACTGCAAGATGTGCATTGAAGTCCGGGAAGAGAATGGTCCCATATCGACCTAAGATAAGTAAAAGAGCGGTCCGATGTCGATTTGAGCTCGGCAAGAAAATGGTCACATCTCGATTCAGGATAGGTACCTAGGCAACACACAATATCTCCAGGATATCCCCAAAACCTCTCAGTGTACCTCTCCGGAAATTGACATACCAAGATATAGTCCCAGGACATCCCGGTCAGCATATTCCGGCTTATGTACTCGCCCCATATACTAGAAAATTTTCACGTAGAATATGATTCCTCAATTTGTTTTTTATAATCGCAAATCTGGAAAAAAAAATTCAATATAAACTTTTTTAAATATTTGTTTAGGTATGGTTCTTTACTTAAGCTTTTCTATTAATTCGGACGCATTGACTTACGAAAACATCAAACTTTGCAAACGACTGCTATCGCCATCGCCATGACGCCATCTTTCCTCCGAGGTGCACGCAGATTTGGTACCTCATTTGACGCACGCCGGTTTGACAAAGCGAGCTTCGAATGAGCAAAACTAACGGTAAGTGATTATCTGCTTTATGCACACTATCGTAAATGTGGTGGAAAAATGTTAATGTTTTATTCCTTTGAAATGACAACTTTCAGCGAGCGCACGATCGGAACCACATGAAAGACTTCGTGGATCGTACGCTGCGGATTGCAGGCCGTGCAGGCGCGCGCTCAATCGTCCTTAGAAACGTTGGCACGAACTCCCGCTACACTCTGTTCCCGCTACGTTGAGACTGCTGTAAAGGTTATGACCACGAGAGCACGAAATCGCGGATCTGAGACGCTTTTCCGCAAAACGAGCGCTCGCGCTAGAAAGGCACGTCTCAAAGCATGAAACACGGGCCACCACAAATTTGTAGCTTTGGCAGCAGTATCAGCAGAAGTGGGTCATGAAACGATATATGGTAGGAACGTTCGTGACTTTACAAAGGCTTACTGGTCCTAGTCTGGTCCAAGTATACTCGCACGGACCACCACTGATTGAAAAACTACTCGGTCGTGGTGAAGTTTCGTGGATAAAAGGGGACTATTTCGTTCAGTCTTGCATTCGTAAAGCTTGATGATTTAATTGTGGCATCGAAGCCACCTGACTGACGGCAGTCGAGCGCGGCTCGTGGATCGGAGACAAGAACTGCGTGAGCAGTCGACTCGCAATGACGCCTTGGTAAGTAATTTGTAAACCGCCGGACGAAACATCGCATAAATCCGCCTGTCAGGAATTTGACTTGAAAAGACTCTGAATCACGCGTATTTGCTTCCCCCCATTTTATTATCGATATATAGGTCCGTAGCAGCCCCTGACTACGAAGCTCCCGTCTGTATATTGGTTATATCTTCGGCGTAAAAAAACAACAATATAAATTGAAAAATGCATAAGCATGACGGCGGTGCGTTTAAACCCGAGGACGCGGATGCAGTCATCAGCCGCGGCAGGAATAAGTCATGGGCAATCTGAAGAAAAAAGCGCCCATAAAGGGCAGGCGGTGTAGGTTCACAAAGATTTGACGATTTATCGCTTACTACTAAGAAAGAATTGCAGCTAAATAAGAGTAGGGCGGTCAAAAGCAGCGAGCATCTGCATGCCAAGACAGGGCGAAATTCGCAGCGGTTTGCGGGAGGCATGGTGGCTGAATGCCCTCCTGGCGGCAGTGGCGCCTGCAGCGGCGCGCGCTGTCCCTACATGAAACGGGCGCCGAAGTTTCGTGACCGGGGAAAAGCATTGAAGGACTCTTCTATGGCTAATGTTGGTGGCCTAGGATATCCACCAGGCAACGTGGTCGCTTGTTCTGGATACGAGTTGGGGTAATGAACAATGCTAATATTTCTTGAATGTATTTGCCGACTGTCATTGCTTAGAAAGAAAACTACGGCAAGTGTATTTGGCTATTAACGTTAGGGAGTGATTTTGAGTAATATTTTGTAAAAGTAGGA